AATCACTCCACTGGCCAGACCGGATTCCATTGGTTCGCAAGCCCAGCTACACATTAGCATCACCTGGGAGCCTCCCTGAATTCTGGGTACCAAGCTTCTCTCTTGACCAGTTTCATCAGAAACTCTGTGGGGTGGAGCCCAGGTATCAAGAGTTCCCTGGGCGATTCTAAGGAACCGAAGATATCTGAGGCCCCTCCCAGTTATCCCTGAGGTGTACAACCATGCATGATTCAACACAGGTGCTTAGCATATGCCTGCTGAACAAAGGGCTGAAGATTATGACTCACCTTCTTTTTTTGCTTTTTCCATGTTCATAATTAATGAGATAAAACAGCAAAAGGGAAAGGTGAATCCTAATAAGAATCGTTGAGTAGCACTGTCCAACAGAAATTTCTGTGACGATGGGAAGATGCTATAATCTGTATAGCTCACTGCAGAGGTCATGAGCCAAATATGGCTACTGAGCTGTGTTTTTTTATTTTTGGGGGGGGGGTTCTTTTTTGTTTTTTTTGCGGGGTGAGGGGTACTGGGGCTTGAACTCAGAGGCACTCAACCACTGACCCACATCCCCAGTCCTATTTTGTATTTTATTCAGAGACAGGGTCTCACTGAGTTGCTGAGCACCTCGCTGTTGCTGAGACTGGCTTTGAACTCGAGATCCTCCTGCCTCAGCCTCCTGAACCGCTGGTATTACAGGTGTGCACCACCAGGCCAGGCGGCTACTGAGTTCTTGAAATGTGTCTAGTGACTGGGGAACTCCATGTTTAATTTTATTTAAGGTTGAATTTAAATTTAAATAGCCACAAATGACTTCTGGCTACCATACTGGACTGTGAGCATATGGAGTGTGTGCCCTTTACCTACACAGCTTGGCCCATGCTCCCCACACCCCTCCTTTACTAACAGCCCTCTGCCTCCATTACCAGAAATCATGGCCAGGCAGCTAAGGAAGTTGCTCCTGGTCCTCCAGCCAAAGAGAGAGCCCAAGACCCAAGCTAAGTCCACCAGACTGTCCTCTCCGGGAATTTGACTCTAGCTTCAGTGCCACAAGAATAGAAGATGAGTCAGAGCAGATTGATATCAGTATTGATGCCCTAAGACATTGTGTGTTCATTTCTAGAACATTAGTCCAGAGCATGGTGATCACAATAGTGATACAGGATATGAGCTAAGAATCATTATCATCATCTTCGTCATCATCAAAGTCCCTGGTACCCAGCAGCTCTGATACACCAGCTCCTGGAACTAGGAACACAATTTGCCTAGCTTCTTTTTAGCTGTAAAATGAGAATCATGCTAACCCTAACTTCTTCCTGATTTTGTGAAGACAGCAAAAGAGATGACAGTCATAAATCCTTTGAGCCGAATAAGGAGTTACTCAAGTGTCTGTTATAGGTATTCCCAGGACATAAGGGTTAGGGAGTCAAGGGAGGGTTTGACAAAGGACCCAGGACCTGGGACCAGTTCACAAGCTGTGCAACATCCAGTAAGACACTTGTCCTCTCTAGGCTTGTGACTGAATTGAGTTAGACACATCCATTTTCAGTTTCACAATTTCTAATTTATTTGCTGACCCCTTTGCCTAACACATATTCCCTCCTACTTCTATGCACAAATGTCAGAAAATTCTCTAGACTAACTATGACAGTCTTTTACCCAAATTATTTCTTCTTGCCCTGGCTTCCTAACTCACTGGGAAAGTGCCCTGGGTGCACACTCTCATTGATTTCTGTACTAACTCTCTGGCAGAAGACAAAGGCATCACTTCTACCTCCTAGTGAGCCAAAAGCAAAGATCATATCCTCCTGGCTTACTATTGTATCCTCAATGCCTGCTACATAGCCAGACACATAGAAGGTGCTCCAGATGTATTTACTGTTTGAATGTTTGAATGAATACCCCAAGTCGATGTATTATTTATTCTGAATATTTCAGATCTATTTCAAGAAATCCACAGTACTAATTATCTAATGCTGCATTAGATTACTTGCCCCAAAATCAGATACATTACCTTCAAAACTTACCAGCTTAAAACAGCAATGATGACTTATATCTCAATTTCAGACAGAGCATGATGAGGTTGGCCTCTCTCTGCTCCATATCTGGAACCTCAGTCACAGAACTCAAAGGCTGGAGCTGGGATCCACTGAAGTCTCAGTCTACCACCTACCTGGAGATTGATTCTGGTTGTGGGTTGAGAGTCCAGCGGGTACTGTCAGCTAGGATACTCAGGTGGCCTCTCCATGCAGGGGGGCTTCCGCACAACATGGTTGCTGGTGTCTTCCGAGAAAGGGAGGATGCTGACTCGGTGACCTAGCCTCCAGAGTCACATAGCATCCACAGAGCATCCCTCCCACCACATTCTACTCATTAGACTCCCTGTGTTCAGCCCACATTCAAGGAGAGGGGAGCCAGGCTCCCTCTTTTGAAAGAAGGATAAGAACTTATAAGCATGCTCTAAAACCACCACAAGCACTTGGCTAACACAAAAGGCACAGTATGGGGTGGAAACTGAGCCTCTGAAGAAGGAAGGCTTCCATTCAAATTCTAGCTCTGCCACTTGTTATCTGGGTGAGTTTGGGAAAATTACTCTCTAAGACTTAGTTTTCCTATTCGTACAGTAAGAAGGTGGCAGGCGCTCTTTAGTGACAGAGACATGCTTGAAGTCTTAACTTCTTGACCCTCTTAAGAGAATCCAGGCTTAACTAATTTTCTTGGAGTTATGGAACCTTTCCCATGATTGCATACCTTTGGTTTCTGAACTTGGAAGCATCAAGAGGAGTCCAGGGGACCCAGAATGTTCTGATATTGGGCAGAACTTTTAAGTAGCAGATGGGGAACCACTGAGGGTCTGAGGAGTCTCTTAGACTCCCTGTCATACCACCAGTGTGAAAATCTCCGCATATCAAGAAATGCAACAACTGTAGATCTAAGGAATACAACTCAGCCTGATGGAGCTTAATGTATTAGTCAGTTTCCAGTTACTATAACAAAATGGCTGAGGCAAGTAACATAAAAAGAAAAGGTTTATTTTGGCTCATCATTTTGGAGGTTCCAATCCAAAATGCGTAGTGAATAATTTTGGGCCTCTGGCTAGGGTGGCATACTATAAGTGCATGGCACAGTAGAACCTTTATGATCACCAGTCAGGAAGCAGAAAGAGAAAGAGAGAGGAAAAGAAAGTCTCAAAATCCCTTACACAAGGCCCCACCTCCCAAAGATTCCTCCCTCTCAGAATAACACCCTGTGGACCAAAACCTAACCCGTGAACCTTGGGAAGACATTCAACATCCAGTCTATAGCATTCAGGAATCTGCATTTCCCCCAGAAGGCTGTTATTCTTACTAAATACCAGTAGGGGGGAGGCTGTGGACTTTAGCAAAGTTCTTAGCTCGAGCTCAGAGAGTTACTTCTCGGTGGGATGGGGGAGGAGGTGGGTGCATTGTGCCTCCAAAGTCCAGGAGCCCAGCACAACAATCAGCTGTATTTTCACCGTTTTCTGAACCGACTGGCTCTCCCCGGCCAGGACTCCCACTTCTATGTCGTGGTCCCACAACCCTAGGGAGAAGCATCCATCCTGCCATGTCCGCGGGACATGGGCATCCAAAGTTCAGTCCAGGGAGACTGACTAGTCACGTCCCTGGGCGTCCCACTCCCCCCGGGGCAGGAACCAGGGGAAACAGGATGACTTTTCACCCTTTCATTTCCTCTACTAGATGTCCCCCTTTAAGGAGCGGACGCGCCAGGAGGGAATTGGTGATCACCTCTGCCAATATGTGGAAGCTGAGGCCTAGAGAGGAAGTGATCTATTGAATGTCCCTGAGCAAAACAAGCGCTGACCCCGGGTCTCCCAGACCAGTGCTCTCGCAGCCCCACGCTGAGGTCCCCGACGTGGTACCCACTTTAGGAAATTCCCGACCGCAGGAATTCCTTTGGCGCCAGGAATCGTCCTAGAGTTTGCGCTCTGTTCGGTCCATTGTAAACTTCCTCCGCAACACCGCACGGTCTTCGCTGCGCCCTAAAAGAAAGGTGAGAAGGGAGCGAACGCCCACCGCGTGGTTGAGAGAACTAGGAGCAGAGGGACGTCTGCGGGAGGGGAGGACCCGGCGGGAATGCGCTGGCCCTTTAAGGGGGGGACGGAGCGCATGCGCGGCGCGGCCGGAGTCGAGCCGGGTGGGCGGCGGGAGGGCAGGGGA